TAGTGTTTGAATAAGAGGACGAAACTTTTATCCAAAAATTGGATTTTCTATTAGGAGAACATAATTTAGAAAGAGTTTTTACACATTTATCATATCTCTAGTCTTCTCATATTTATTTTTTTACCATTTTTCTTAGTGTTGCAATTTTTTTATAGCGTAAAAGTTCTTTTTCTGAATTTATGTGAAATTCGACATTTGGTTTTTGCATTTTTTTTTACAATAAATGATGTCATTTTTTGCGTTTTATAATTTTTTTAATTTTTCAAGATTTCAAAGATTTTTTTTTATTTGTAATATATCGATTGCCTATATATAACATCCAGTTTTCTAATGTATTATATCGGGTGTTCAAATAACATTATCTTATGTTTATCGCTTGTTTTTAGAAATATTAACAGAATTAAATGTTACCCGTTTTTAGGTCCCACTTAAATATAATCTGGCGCAAATATGAATCGTCTATAGAAGCTATTTATCAGCTCACAATATAATTCGATTTTTTTTTCGGAAGTGTATCTTTTTGAAAGCATGAAGTCTTTTAAGATTTCGTTGCGTCTAATAATTTTTAGTGGATTGCGGATTTTTATGCATTTATGGAAAATATTAAACAAAGGATGAAATAAAAATTTCTATTTATTTCTATAACTTTTTATAAGAATTTCATTTTTCATAAATAAATCCACAATGTACTATGTACTAGATATTAGACATGATAGTGAACTTTGATACAATAATAATTCCAAATAAAATTATGTGAAAATATAATTTTTATTATAAAATTTATTTGTTGTTCATGTTATAATTATTTTTAATTGTCATTTAAAATTTTAAATTCTTTTATATTGGATAAAATAATAATCATAATATGAATTGAAATAATAAAATTATATGATAATAACTGCATCCTCGAGAAAAATAAAAAGTATGATCTGAGCAACCTTGGATCCATCGCATTTTACTGAAAATTTTACTGAATTCTTCGAATTCTTTCGAACTGTTCTAAAACTTTCCAGGTCAAAGAAAAAAATTATTATATTTATAATAATTATTATTATTTTATACGATAATCGATAGAACGATTTAGGCCAAACATGAAAGATTTTCATTAAAAGGAAAAGAAACCAACAAGTCAAGATCCAGAAATAAGAAAATGTGAAAGCACATTTCCTGGAATTCGGATGGACGCGATAAAAACTTGGTAGCAAAAAAGAACCTTCCATTTATACATACCATTGAGACGTTTAAGCTGTTATCGATGCAGATTGCGATATAGATAGGAAATTTACGCAGTTTTTTCGAAAATGAGGACGAATCGATTCCTTGAACTATAATATCTAAACTATCAAAACATTTCGATATCGATTTTTTCACGCGTCCTCACTTTTTACCATCCGTGTTTTCTCTTGTTTTTTAAATTTGAATTAACCGTGGAAATTTCTAAATGATGGAAAAAATAATCTAAGAAAAAGTCGTTAGTGTCAGGAATGAATTAATTGATTAGAAATAATTTAAAATTTGAATTTAATTTTTCAAATTTGGTTTTAATTCGTCTGTTGATATTGTATGACACGAATTTTATTCAAACTTTCGCATATATGTTATTAAGAGAAATTGACGATTTCGTTTAAATTTAACTATTGCCAATATTTCAAACTTAAAAATACATTTATAAGAGAATCTTCAATACGTTTAAAATTGATATCAAAACACACATACATGTTACATTCATGTTTATTCAAAGAATAATGAATTCGTCTTTATCAACTCGATTCTCAGAAAGAAATTTCTCGATAGAAGGATAATCAGTTTAACAGCGCTTGAAAATTATTGTCTTCTTTGATTTACACGGATTATACATCGTGTAAATCATCGAATATATATACAGTACATTTTCTTATAACTCTAATTAAGCTTTAATTAATCGATACTACCTTCAGAGAATGTGGGTTAACAGCGAATACCATTTACAATTCTTTTTTTTTTCCTTTTCTTTATTCATTTATTTTTTCTTCTCGTTCAGTTCGAGTTCCAGTATCCTGGTTTCTTCATAGAATGTCTCGTTGATCGATCGAATCGCGTTTAGCGACGAAACACTTGTCGTAATGACATCGTGGAATGCTATCGATTCGTCGTACGACGACATCGATATCCGCACATATACACATATATACATACACACACACACACACACAACGTAATCATCAGTTGAATGTGCCACGAGGAGAATATCATCGAAATTCCCCTCGTCGTAGAGTTCTACGTGGCAGGTATTGCATAATATTTGTAATATTTATACCTTGGTTATCGATTTTTCAATATTTGCAATGAAAACACCGATAGTATGAATCTAGGTACATCGATGTTCATCTTCTGTTAAGGGGCAAGTGTGCAAATGTTATTATATTTAGAAATGGTGAGGAGCCGAAGCGAAGAGGAAGTATAGCAGGAGGGCAGAGAGACGGAAGAGTAGTTTGATTTTAGTTCGTCGAATAAAAATGATTGGCGAAAAAGTTGAGAATTATAATTTATTTAATTAACGTGAACAATTACAGCATAAGTAACATAATAATTATTAACATTGATACAAAATAATAAATAATAATATTATAACGTTCAAATATTTTAATATTTAATAATAAATATAAATACAATATCGGAGAAAGTAACATCTGAAAAACACACAACCGATATTTCGTAATTAACTTCCTCTCGAATCGAATTAACAAATATCCAAAAATTGGCCGTGAAAGACTACCAACTAATTGTCACTCGAGACACCGGCCACGATCCAAATACTGAATTTAACGAGCAAGTCGTCACTCCACGAATTCCCACCATCAACGCCCAACCACGTGAATTCCAAAATAATTAAATCTTATATTATATAACTTCATCCGTGTAAATTCGTTTCGCAAAGCCGGAAATATCGTCAGTGAAGAAGGTGTGCTTCTGGCCTGGCGAGCGATAATACGGTGAACGTAATTTTATAGCGGCCATAAAAGGCGTGTTTCTTCCGGGAGTTGGGCGAAAGAGGGGAAGCGGGTCGGAAAATCGCATGCTCGCCTCGGTTTAATTCGCGTTTCAACGATGACAGGCCAGGAAATCGCTCTATGTATCGCATGCACCGCCGCTTCCGGCTTCGTAGTGACGTCGCGTCGTTTCGATCCGTGTTTCTTCCGCGTATTATCTAAACAGTTTAAACCATTTGTGGTCGTATACGCCAATATGATTCCATCTAGATCTTGTTTTTTTTTTTTTTTTTTGCGTTTAATATCTATCAATATCTGCCTCCATTGTTCGAACTCCATTCCTGTAATCGTGAAAAAAAATTTGATTTTGCATAAAAGTTTGGAAAAATAATGATTAATTTAATTCTTTTGTTAATTCGAATATTAAATATTTTTTCATCTATCCTCTCTGAAAACTTTTATATTAAACGGTGTAAATGTTGAATTAGAATGATGTGACTTTAATATATTATTATCAATTACAATTTTTCATTATCCGTATTATTTCTGTATACAAAAAGTATTATTTATTCGAAAACTTTCTTAATTATAAAATGAACTTTTAAAATGACATTGATTTATTTCATCTATCTAATGTTTTAAAGTTACAAAAATTGTTTATTATTAATTTATACTCGTTTACATTAAATAAATAATTATAAAGCGTAAAGTTTATGCAAGATCGATCGATTCACGCGACATAAAACCGAGTTTCACTGCGAAGTTTCCATTGTCGTTGATTAGAACATGTGGTTTGTAATCAACGGAGAGATTGTTGAAGTAATTTAGAAGGTGGATAGATTTCGAAATACACACGCGAATCTTGTTTGCGCTGAACTGTTTAAATTCTTTGGCGTGTAACTGTAAAGCTCGTGTATTTTATTTGAAGCGAAGATGAAAGATAATAGTTTCGAGTAGTAAATTGTTTTTATTTCATTTATTTTAACTGTATAGTGAGAAAAAAATGATTATTTTGTTTAGATAATCGAAGAATTTTATACGAATGTAATATAATTAAATTCGTATAAATGGTATTTCGAGAAATATCGCGTGTGTTGTTTGAATATTTTATTCAAATTATATCAAAAATTACCGGAAAAAGTAAATTGATTTTGAAAAATGATTTTCCATTCTCTCATATTTTCAAGCAATTCATCATCGAAAATTTCTTGATCCGAAAACGAAGACACGCCCATAAACTCGTGCATACTCTATTTACACCCAGCAAACAATCAAGAGAAAACAAGATATGTTGATAAAAGTACGTAGTTGCGAATTAAACAGAATTCAATAATCACATACGACATAATTTGAGAATTGTACACATTCAACCCGTTGCTTGTTCAATATTTAAATCATACCTCGTCTCGTTTGGAAACCATGTCGAGTGTCGAGTCCACCAGCGCATCTACAAGAATCCAAATATGATTAAACATAGTAAATAATTTTATTTTTTATTCCAAACAATTGCAATTCAAACTTCGAATCATAAAATATTCTCTTTGAAAAAATAATAAAATTTTTGTTTACAGAAATATTCTCATGTTAATTCTATACAGTTGAAAAAAAAAATCTAAAAAAAACGTTCTCGAATTTCAAAATTTCACAAAAGAGAAACAATAAATTTTCGTAATCGAAATTTCGAACATTGTATGCACGTAAAAAAATAAACGAATAAATGAAGAAAATCAATATTCACAAAATTATCAAAATAATCTCGATTCTATATAACATAGGGGAAAAAATCTTCAAAAAGTATTATTCTTTCTCGAGTTTTACATGGATGGAAAATACCCTTATCCATTACTCATTCCGTGTCGTTTCAATTCTTTTATTTGTGAAACAATCAGAGGCATTCGAACGTAACCACCTCGAGATGGAATCGATACTAATGAAAATGCGACCTCCGAGCAATAGCAATTATTCTGTCGCGTGCATTTTTCGCATGGATGCTCGACAACGTACAACTTTGATTATGCACGAAGCGCTCGATGCACACCTGATCACCCTTTAAATAACCTGCAATTCGTGTTTTTCCCGCCTAAGAAGTATCTCGCCATTCTGATTACGCGAGTCTCGCTGCCAATCAATATTTAAATAAAAATATTATTATGACAGAAAAATTAATAAATAATTTAGAAATAAATTTCCATTAAGCGAATGATAGAACAGATACTACACCAAGTATATTTCATCGACGATGATGCATGGATTTAATTTGGGTGGTGATTAAGTTTGTAAAATACCTCAATCGAACTTATTATTCAAACATTTTTGTTTTCTGTGAATCAGTGAAGAAGAAGATTTCTGCTCTGGCAATCTGATAAAGTTTCGTACTTTTCTATATTTTTCATTCTACATCTACTCGTACACTTTCTTTCGGCGACGACTTATTCCTTTGATCATTTGAAACTATTAAAAAAAATATCTCTACCTACCGTTAATTACACGAAAAAACTGATAGAATAATTTTTTTTCTTTCTTCTTTTCCTTTTTCTTCTATTTCTTAATCTCTCATTGATTTCAATAATCGTATTACGAATGAAAAAAAAATCAAGTGTACACAGATTGATTCAGTTCGTAAATAAGCCAATATCCTCGTTGATCTTTCTGACGAAGTTCTTAAGTTCGATTATTGACACATCTTTCAATATGAATTATAAATTTAAGCACCATGGAAACTGTGTCAGCGGTGGCTCGGTACGAGCGCGTCTCGTACTAAGCCACGGCAACCCGTTTGCTCCTGTTTTGCAGATAGCGGCAGCGGCATGAACGCACGAGACTGGTTACGAAGTGGTATACGCAGGGTGTCGCGCGATCTCGAAAGTCAAGATCGCGGCCCATAATTATACGAAAACGCAGTGCAGGCGAGTTTAGTGTGATTAGTCGGAAGACGAAAGTGGGGAGAAATCGATCGAGGACGGAGGACAGGGACAGTGACAGTGATATCGGGCAGTGATAAGGTGTATCCAATCCTGAGTGTGAAAAAGTGTGAACTGAATGAAGTGCAAAGGTAAGAAAAAAGGAAGAAAAGAAGGGAAAAAGGATCGACCATGGAGATCGACGACGTACATTGTGCATCGAGTCATTACCGTAATTTCATAATCGAGTCGAAGAAATTTGAATCCACGATTGAATCGTCTCTGTTCGTGTTCCTTATTCGTGATCCGAAGAAATAAATCCCTAATCGTGTTCCTTCGTATTTCCCGGAATCATGAATCGTGTCAGGGGTGGTAGACAACTTAAATATCGCGCGAGGAACGGAAAAGTTTAAGAAAGGAACGCGAACTTGATGAAAATGGACTCGACGAAGCTGGGCGGGCCAGCCCCAACCAGCCCGAGGGCACACTCGCCGGCTGTACCGGCCTACACCTCCGCCACGGCGGATGGAAACATCGATTACATAATCGGGGACTACATGGAGAGGCTGGGAACGAGGTTGAACACGTTGGAGAACGAGTTGAGGTACGCCTGGAGGGCGTTGGATCTGCTCAGCCAGGAATATATCAAGATGTGGGAGAGGTTGGAGAAGCTGGAGGGCCTGCTGTACGAACAACAGACGGTGATCAGCCAATTGATCGAGTTCTACGCGAGCGGAGGTAGCCACGAGACGAGCAACGTGGTGGTCGAGGAGACGTTGGCTAATCAACAGAGCACGGTGGGCGAGTTGGACGCGATCGCGAAGAGTATAGGCGCGACCATGGGGATCGAGGAGACGAATGCGATCAGGGAGAAGTTGGCGCAGCAGGAGATCGCCAGGATGCACGGACTAACGCAGGACAGCTCGACCGCTGCAGCGGTAGTTACCGACATGCACAGGAACGTGAGGAACTTGGATACTCTGGAGACTCTCGCGGAAGAGAGTAACATTCCAGACGAGGCGTTCTACAGGAGTCTGAACAATGCTTACAGGGAGGACTTGATCTGTGGCGACACGTCCAGACCGACGTCGCAGCTCGGTATGATATGGGAGGAGGCGGAGGACGAGGATGTGAACGGAAAGAAGGAGGTGGAGACGAGTATGTTCGAGAAGACTGTTGTCGCGAAAGAGAAAGAGCTCGAGTGCGAATTGGTCGTTGCAAAGCCGACGAAGGAAGAGATTCAGGAGGCGGTGACGAAAAAGGAGGACGAGGCGGACGAGGACGAGGGCGAGGTGTTCAGCGCGGCTGATTACAAGAGTTATCGTGGGAACACGCCTTGCGTGAGCGAGCAAGATCTGGCCCAATTGTCCAGATTGAGCTCCATCGACCAAGTCGCCCTGGAGAAATTGCACGAACTGGACAGGTTGACCAACAAATTGCAAAAGGATTCTCAGAATCTGATGGAGCTGCAATCGAAACTGATGGACTCCCCGAAGAGGCAGTACAGCTCCGAGGCCGAGGCGAAGTTGGCCGAAGAGGCGAGTAGCATAGACGAGCAATTGAGAAAAATCTACGCCGAAACCGACGTCGATAGCTGGACGTTCTCGAAGAGTCCCGGATCGACTGGTCGATCTATATCTCGAGTCAGCACCGACAGTGGTCTAGCAACCGACGGCGACTTCACAACAAGGTCAATTTCACCAAGACTGACGTCCACATCCAGATCGAATCTGGATTCCATCTCGAGCACCTACACCCCGCCCAGACTAGGTAGCTACACTTCTACAGTGCGCGAGAAGAGTCCAGAGCCAGTGATCCAGTTGCCCATAGACGTGGGCAGCTTCGCCAAAGGCTACGCGGAAAACAAGGAGCTGACCGATCTGATGGTCGAGAGTTTCGCGGCTGTCACCTGCGCCTCGCCCACCATCTACAGCACCACCACGGACAAAGTGGCGTCGCCCACGCACTCGGCCGGGAGCGTGCACAGCGTGCATAGTGTCCACAGCGTGCAGAGTCTTCGAACCAGGCAAGATGGTTATTTCGGCAGCGCCGCTCGGCTCAATCTCGAGTTTCAAGAAAGTAGAACGCCCCCGAGTCCGTCGCCGAGCTCGCCACCTCCACCAGCGCCCCGAGACTCGGCCGAGCCTTTCCTCATGCCGGGCCCAGACCAAAGGGAACCGGACGCGAAACGATCCCAAAGCCCCACGTTCCTGAGAAGCGCGGACAAATTGGTCTCCGTGGAGCAAGGTCGCCTAAGTCCGCGAACCCCTCACTCGCCTAAATCGCCACGAGTCTCGCCCAAGCACACGGCCAAGCCAAGCGTGGCCAACATCGTCGCGGCCAAGTCCGATTCCGGCCTATCCTCCATGAGCGGATGGAGCAGTTTGGACAAGTCACCGAGCTCGCCGAAAAGCTCCATCGCCAAGATGCTCACTTCGTATTCCGTGGATCACGCGAGATCTTTGATCCCAAGCACGACCACGGTCAGGTCTGCCAGCCCGATTCCGCCGCTTCCGGAGGCCACCACCACCGCCACGATCATCACCCAGGAACCGTTGTACGACACGCCTGAAGGCAGGGACGCTACCGCTGCCGTCACCTTCACAGTCACCAGCCACTCTTACACGGTAGCCATGAACCATCTGTCGGGATACGCGTCGATCAAGACCCCGACCACGAAGGAAGAGTACGGCTTCGTGCTACCCCCAGCGCCCATCGCGACCACCTGTCAGAGTCCCAAGAAACGAGGTCGCCAACAGGCGTTGCAGCACACGTACGACACTGTGCCGCCTGGAACGACGATCGACTACGTTTACAGGTCGGAACAGCCGGCCATTTATTCCGTGGCAGGTAGCAATCGGCAACAGGCGATCACGAGCGTGTACACGAGCAGCGCGGGAGGTTACGGTCCGAAGACCACCACCGCTTACGGGTGGATGGATCAATTGAACAGTTACGACAATTACACCACTGTCCAGTACACGGAATCGAGCGCGGTTTCGGTTCACTTGAAGAAACCGTTGAGGGGTGCCGCGTCCACGGACGGTATGACGAACCACGAAGGATACAAAGCCGCGATGTATCGCACAATGTTCCCAACGGGGAACATCACCGACGCGCTCTCCTATTATCCCACGAGCGCGAATCTGCCGCGGACAGAGACCTCGAACGAGACTTCGTGGTTGAACTCGATGGAGGATCAGATACCCCACGACTCGACTTCCTCCAGCATCAGATCGTTGACCTCGGACGGCAGCTACGCCCAGAGCCCGTACACGGACAGAAGGTATCCCCAACCACCTGCGTATCAGGCCCATCAGTATCACCACACGTACGCGAATCAGAATTATCCGCAAGCTTATCAGCAACAGTATCAACCGTACAGTCAAAGATTGACCAGTACCGAAAGCGCACAACTCACGGATGGATATCAAAGACAGTGGCAACGGGAACACCAATACATCCAGGATCACGAAACCGCGAGAATTCCTATCGATCAAAGCCAGCATCAACAAAGCGAGTACTACGATCCATCGAGCGTGATAGTGTCCCAATCCGGGTACATCAGCATTGCGTCGAACTTGAAGGATCATGAGATCGAGACGGCGAAGGTTAATAAAAAAATAAGACGTGGCTCGTCGTTGAAGAATGCTATGAGCTCGATGAGCAATTGGTTGCCAGACTTACACTTGAGCAAGAGGCACAGGAGTCACTCGTTGCCAGGTGGGGTGAGAAGAGAGGATTTGGACATGTCTCAGGAGCAGCAACAGCAACAGCAGCAACAACAACAGCAAAGACTTCCTGCTGAAACAGTGGGCAGAGGTCGTGGCAGGGGTCAAGCGCCAAGGAAAAAGAAGAAACACACGTTGGTGTCTACCGTGTCAGGAATCCTCCAGAAGGCTAAGAGGCGAAGTCATCAATCGCAGTCTCTGTCCGATCCTGAACAGTCTGAAACGGAATGGAGCAGCGGCAGGCAGAGTGGTTTGTCCGAAGACGAGGACAGCGTAATGTCGGATGTGAACCAAGAGCCTCCGTTCTTCGCCAAAGTGAAGACAGCCAGCACGAAGCGTAAACAGCCCCAACCGATTCCTCAACAGCAACAACCGATCCCTCAGCCGTTACCTCAGCAACAGAAAGATTATATTCAGCAGCAACAGCAGCAGCAGCAACAACAAAATTTGCAGCAGCAGCAGCAACAACAAAATTTGCAGCAACAGCAGCAAGCCCTTCAACAACAGATTCAGCAGCATCAGGAGCAGCTACAGCAGCAAGCTCTCCAAGACGGTTGGGGGAAGGAGAAGGATCAGAAGAAAGAGATGGAGCACGAGGTGATCAGCGAACAAATCAGCGGTTTCGAGGAAGAGACGTCGGGGAAGAGCACGGGTTCCGGGTCAGGTGGCTCGTCCATATTCCAAACTGTTGGAGATATCAAACGATCGACCGGTAGCTCTGACGAGGCCCCTAACGAAAAAGCCCCGAAACTTCCCCCTGTGACGTTGATGGGCGGAGCAAGCATGGAATTCGCGGTGTCCAGGGCACTGGGAAAGTATCGTCAGAGACAATCCTCGACGGTGTCCGACGAACAACCACCAAGCGAGGAAGGTAGCACGGAGAAGAAGTCCGACGAAGGCACCGTCCAGACTCTGGAGACGAGCTTCGAGTATCCTGAGGACATGTCGGAGAAGAGCGAGAAGAGCGAGAAATCTAGCAGCACGAGGTTGCCGGAATTGGTGACCAGCATATCGGAGGAAGCTCCACCGTCGGAGGGAAGCCCATCCGCGTCGAGCACGAGGGGTCAAACCCCGGCTGGTAGCCGATTCCTTCCACGACATCAACAATCTCTCGAAATTCCGTGGACTGGCTCGAGACAGGGCGAATTGGACGAGGATAATCGAAGCACGCATTCCTATCGAAGCACGTCGAGGGTCTCGTCCAGGCGACAAAGTACGGAGGATTCGATCGACTCCGAGGACGAGTGGTATCGATACGAGTTGAGGAAGCTGGAGGAGCTCGAGAGGCAATCGCAGATAGAGATAGAAATGGGCGAGGTGCTGGTCGAAGAGCCTGAAGAAGTTGAACACTATCAACCGGACGAGGCGGTGAAGGAGAAGATGTCGTTCGTGCTGAAAGAATTAAAGCTGAAAGCCAGTAGCAAGGTGAAGGAGGAGAAGGTGAAGGAGGAGAAAGAAGATCTGCGAACGAGTAAAATGAACGGGACGGTGGCAAAGGATCGTCGAGTCGAGGAACGGGACAAGTATCGAGACGAGAAACCGATTCCAAAACGAAAATCCGCTGAGAGTATCGAGGCAGTGTTTGCAAGGGTCACCGATTATCATACTTGGGCGCACGAAGAGGAAGCCAAGAAGGAGAAGCCGGCCATGGAAGAGGGCTCTTCTGGAGAGACCTCTGGTCCTGATAGTCCGGTCCAATCGATGGACGAGGAGGAAGAGGAAGAATTGCCGAAAGACATCGACGAGCAACCGTCGAGGCGAAGCTCTAGCGGCTCGACTTTTCGACACGGAGAAAAGATCCATTCTGGTTCCGAACCGATATCTCGCGAGGGTAGCGTGAGTGTACCGCCTAGCGAGGTGTCTGTTAGCATTCCAGGTGCTTGGGACTCGGAGAGCACTGTCCTCGAGGGGTTGGAGCGAGACGGTGCTGGTAGCGCTGAAACGGCTACTACGGCGACTTTGAGTCTGCCCAAGATTAAAATCGATTCTTCGTCGTGCGGCAGTTCCGACACGACACTGAAGGAGGGCCAGGTAAGTCCTGGCCCACCTGGGTCGAAATGGAAATTGCTGAAAGCGTTGAAGGAGCGAAAGGCGGAGGAGAAGATGAAGGAGGTCGAGGAAGCCTCCAAGGAGACCACCATTTCTCAGGGACCCACGGCAGTGAGTATTATGATAAAGTGAGGACACGAAAATCTTTGTAAGGCGTACTCGAGATTCGGAGATTGGGTGAAATCGTAGAGTTAAGTATTTTAATAAGATTATTTCCGCTGTTTCTATCTCGTTAATTGTTTACAGTGTTTGAGTTACATTGATTTATAATGATTTGAGTGTAGGATGTTAATAGCTGACTAACATTTTATATGTTTTGTCTAAATTTTTTTTATTACTAATTGTTTATTTAAAAGCAGTCTCATTATATACTTTCTCTTCTTAACAGTTTATTTTTTTTATCAGATTTTTAATTGAGATATATGTATTTATATATAATCGAATTATAAATTTCTTAGATATTAATAGATAAAAGAATTAAAAATAAACGAAAGATGCTTTTAACATCCTGCACAAAACAAGAAATCGAGTGAAATAAGTAAATGAAAATGATCTACAATTATTTAATTTCATACTTCGTTGACATAAGGCAACTTAGGAATGAAATATACAAAACGAACCAATTACAATACAGGGAACAACTTATATTGCTCGGCTTCTAATGCTATAATATAATAACGTTTCTTTGAAATTACCTGACCAATTCAATAGCGTCGCACGTAACACCGGATACGATTATTGTCACGTCACGATTCACAGCTCTTTTTCCACTATCGAGTGTCGAGTACGCTGAATGCGTACAATGCGGAAAATGTAAAGCGCAAAGCGGGGCAACTTACGAATTTAAGAAAGATTTAAACCGTAACCGTGATGCCATCTAGCGTGGCACGATCCAAGTCAATACTAACGATATTATAGCGGAAGTGAAGCTTTGTCGGACGCGTTCCCGTGATCCATTCTCGTTTTTGATCGCGAAAAAAATCCCGAAAAGTATCGAAAAAAATCACAAACACGATATAAAAAATAATGAACGATGGTACTAGTCAATTCAGCAAGTGCAACGTCAGTGACGCTTGGCCAAGCAATATACTTGTAAGTGATGATCAATTGAGTGCACAATTCAAGATCGATTGGTAATGGTGATCGACGATTCGATCGATTTCGAGTAAGTAATGAAACTCAAATATCCATGTGCGACCGATGCATCGACGATAAATAAAGGCTTACGTAATTAAAATAGATGATAGGAGTAATTAGATGGTGCTTTAATAATCGATACGCTTTAAGGTAGTATTATTAGTAGCCGCGTGCCTGCGCGGTCTGACGAGGATTATTCGCGAGACAAGGCTATAAGTATTATTATTCGGTCAATTAACGTTTCCTATGTACACGACAGGGAACGATAGTCTTTCATAGGTTCCCAAATATTTCCAATATGGCCGCGCTTTACTTTCTGAGCGCGACTCATCCTTTCTCGTGGCTTTTGTCCACGTCTAGGCACATCGACGCACATGCAATTCGATATTATAACATAGCGCGCAAGTAACGAATAAAACGTGTGTACTTATATTTAAGAGAAATTAGACTCACACTAGAGGAAAATCTTTCCTTACGATGCTCGTGTTTAATATTGCAAGTACAACAAGTCACGAGACTATAATATACGGTCTAATACCGATACACATGGACAAGCTTAACCTTAATCTTATAGTCGACCATCGAACGTAGTATTTAAGAAAATTACATGTATACATCCGTTCATCCTCTTCATCGATTCATATGCTCGTGTTTTGAAAGCAAGAGATTGACATAACCTAAAAATTATTAATCGACTATGGTTAGAGCATTCGTTTTAGCATTCGTAGGGATTGAATCTTATCTGGGCAAGTGATTTTTGCGAATTCAACCTCCTAAGCAAAAATAAAAAAAACGAAACTTTTGAATAAATAGATAAAAGACCGGTGGATAAAATTTTGTTCAACACTCTTGAAGCTCGTTTCAAGATTCCGTTTCTAAGAATTGGATGGATATAATAAATAACGATGACTAAAACGAGCATTATTGTATCTCTTCCGAATTAAATCGCTCGAATTTTCCAAATATATCGCGTGCAATGCTCGTACAACGTTAAAAATGGTTTATCGGTGGGAGAAAAATAGAAATGGAAAATAGAAATGAAGAAGGTAGATATATAAATAGAGGATGAAGAACAAATCGCGCAGGCACGATTGAGAGGGAATCTCGTGCACATCGAAACGAAATCGCTTCCGAGAAAGGCGCGAAGGAACGAATAGAAGCGAAAGGGAAAATGGATTCATCGGTATTTCGATTCACGTGGAACACGATGGTATTTGTCTGATCGACGATAGATTCGCCAAAAGGCACGGATCCCGTGTTTCGTGCCCGTTTATCGATCGTTTAAATGCGATAAAAGGCGCCGCTGACGTAATATCAAACCCTGAATTTTAGATCGGAAATTGCCGTGAAGGCATTCCGGTTAATAACTTCAACTATTCGGAAGATGGTGAAAATGTATTAATCGATTAATTGGAATACCTTTTTTCAAATTTTTCACGCTAAATTTTACGAAAAGAATATTTGAATATTTTTTTTTAAGAAACTTTTCAATATTTTTTTAACGACAAATGAATGTGTAATAATAACAATTTTCTCTTTTATTAACTCTTTTATTTAAAAAATTACTTGAAAATATTTATAATTAAGATCAAGAAATTTTACCGAGAAAAGTTTAACAATTCAAAACTTTTAAAAATTTCCACCTTTAATCACGAGTTATCAGAATTTCTTTGTCAAGGAAAAGCAAGGAGGAATCCTTAAGTATCTTCATTATCACTATTCATTATTTCATTTTTCATACTAATTACAATTTTCGTTCCCACATAATTTTCAATAATTGAAAAAATTGCCTGCCAAATTATTTTCAATGATTCCCTTTATACGGACGATTAAACATATCTGGACGAAGTAGAGAGTCATAATTGTCCGCTTTTGCTCGAAATTATGTATCGAAAGAGTGCACAATAAACGAATCAATTCCACTTAACCAACGTAGTACAAAAGGCGAGCTTCTCGTCGATCACGTGTTCCTAGGAAGTTTCGCAATATATTCCATTTCATTGAGCACGCGAAACTCGATATCACGCCAGATCACGTGACATTACGTGGACAATACACGCTTCCTTCCGTTCCACATTTCCCGCGCGAAATACGAATAAATAAATCACGAAATTTCACGATTCAACGAATTTGTATTTTCGTTAATCCGAGAGAGAACTCGTCGAGTGAAATTTGAAATCATGCAGATCGTAGATTAATCGTGATTAATCGTGATTAATCGTGTTCTTTCCTAATCTTTTCTTTTCTTTTTTCTTTTTTTGATAGTTCGTATTGTATTTCACTCGTGATCTAAGCTAAGGGTGAATTTTATCAAAGGTACACGATCGACGGACGAAATTAACGATCCTCCTCGTGTATCCCATAGTATTCGTAACTAGTGGACATTATATATGCTGATAGTATGATAGTAGAAGATAATTAAAGTCGATAGCCGAGCGACGTGATTCGTGGGTGTATTCCTGGATCGAGAATTACGCAATGTCATATTAACTCTTTGGATTTACTTATTGAGATGTCTTGGTAGAGAAGATTGGCAGGAAAAAAAAAATCGCTTCTTATTCAAAAACTAAAAAAACTTTTTTAAATTTTCTTTTTTAAATTAAAAAACGCAAGATATCACATTTCATTCAAATTACAAGGAAATTCTTTCTCTCCAAAATTCCATCTTTTGTACACCGCCTGTCAAAAAAGTATAAAAAAAGAAAACCAAAAAAACTTTTACCAAAATTTCATCATTTCAAGATGAGATCCCTCAAAGCGAAAAACGACGGATTCCCACGATCGTCCCATCCTAAACAGATTATTCCACGCATTGTGCGCATATTGTACACAGAATCCTCTAAGCTGAGCAAGCGCGCGTTATCCGGAGACCACACGCCAATAACGGAATCCAATGTCCCCGTAACATCCGCCCGATTCTCGATCCTCCCCACGATTACAACCCACGATCTCACACCGCCCGATGTTTCAGGGGTGGGAGAGTAAGATTTTCGCTCGCATACCACCGCTTCGTAATCTCGAAACGATCGATATCGCGTAATACCGATAACCGTATAACAGTCCGCAATAGTTTTCACAATACGGATAGAACAAAGAGGGACACCACAAGACGCGATACAACAACACCGCCGACGGTGAAAATTCGTACAAGAAAATAATAAACGAATACGAATGGTCGAGTGTGGGAATGAGTGCCGCGTTCGATCGAGCATAACGAACGTGGTAACAACAACGTGGTTGTACAGATGAGAAAGCCAATATATACACACACACACACACATACACATACGCATACGGGCGCGACATACGCACACACGCGTCGTACACACATCGTCCAAAGTATATGCTTCCGTATCTAAAGACTTCGCAGCCGTATAATACTCTTAATTAAGCTAGCAATTAATTGATCGTGCGTACGTAATTTGGTGTTAGTGTATTAGGGGTTGGGTAAGAAATACCGGGCATGTACCTGTTCGCGATCCGGATAGATTTTCAGGTGGGATTTCCTACGAGCGCCAGACACGAATAGGTCTGGGACAGTGTTTCTCAACCTTGTCTGGTAATGGAAAATCTTTTTCGACTGGATGATGATAACTTTCGCGAAATGACATTAGAATCCTGTGGAGTGTAATAATGTAATATGTCGTGTGAGATTTGTGACGTTGTGAATTAGACGTGTAAATTTTTTTATAATCGTCATCAAATTACCCCAAGGTGTTATTTCAAGATTTTATCAAACTCAATAAGAATTCTGTAAATATTTTAGAATGTAACTTTTTATGGAAAAATTTCGATCGAACAACTTTTTTTTTTTATTCTTTGAATGAAAACGAAGTGCTTAAATCGATTCCTTAAACTTGCTCGAAATAATTGAATATATAACAATCTACACGATTATCAAATTGCCCATAAATTGACTAGGCTGGCAATCATTAAAAAATTACATTGACAAATACGCAACACTTCTACAATTT